TGGGGGGGGAGGGGGGAGAGGGTTTTTTCTTCTTCTTCCTCACCACATCACTCCCCTGTAGTAAATCAAGTAATGAGCACTTGGCGGGCCTCCCAGTCCTAAAGCCAGTGTATTGAAAAAAATCATACCTGAAAGGGCACTGTATTTATCTCAAGAAAGTAGTAACTTCTCATGATATATCATATATTAGTGATCTGGGCTAAGGGAAAATAAACTAGAAAAAGTACAGAAATTTGTACTTTAAAGATGGAGACATTTTTATTCTTATGTAGATTCTCACTTCACAATCTCCACGCCTCACTTCGATAAAGACAATTTAATGCTGACGATGTAAGGTTCTCTCCAACTATGGATGGATATTACAAAAATTAGATTTTTCATAGTTTTTGTGAAACTCAGCTAAAGAAATAAATATGAACCAAACATGTGCCCCGTGTCAACCAACCCAGGCCATACTCAAATAAGGGTAGACAGATCAGACCCTCTCCTGTCCTGTGCTCTTTCAGATAGAAGTCCAACCCAATCTTTGTCCATGTTTGTGCTGGTAACTGTGTGCTTACAGATTTCTGCAAAAACATCCATTCTCTCAAACTGGGAAACACAAACATTACTGGTGGTAATGGTGGTGCAGTTACAGAACGGCATAATAATTATTTCTTGCAGAATTATTAGCCTACTCTATCCAGCCCAGGGAACACAAGATGAAGAGAAGCAGGAAATACCAGTAGCTTCCATGGAGTGTGGCAACGACACCACCCAACAACAAGAAAGGAGAAACCAAACGGGGTGGAGTAGGGAGGATACATCCTAATATCCTAATGTGAAGCACTGGCTTAACTAAAAGAATGAGACATTTATATATACATGCACACAAGCATTCACATGTACATATGTGCATGTGTGCACATACACATACATTCCTAGCAATGCAACTATGAGGAAAAAAGGCAAGATCCAGGAAATATGCTAGACTGGTGGCTGTCCGTCACTTTGCACTACTTTTTTTAAAAAGGCAGAAAACAGATGCTACAGCCTAGTGACCTCACTCAGAGACCTTCTGTAGCACACCTGAAGGGTTGGCATGTCCAGGAGAAGTTTTGGGCTTTATGCAGGAGAGCTATTCAGCTGTTAAAATTATTCTACTTTGGAACCAATGCTTTCCTGATACCGTGCATTAATTCACTTACCCTTTCTTCACATGGTTTATCATTTTTATTTTCCCATATTTAATCCAAGATTGCCATATTGAACATGAGTGACACAAGTAGGGTGCCTCTCCACCCTATGGACAACTAGAAGTTATTTGCTCAAACTTGGGTCACTACAGGACCATACAGTTGGACCTGATTTGGTCTGTATTTACACATACTGTATCTCCCAAACCAGTGAACATTTATAACACTAAATAGTTTCCTAGGATTCACCAAACATTCCAAAATAACAAAAACTACTTTGAATATGTGTCATCTTCATGTAACTTCATTCATTCTACCAGACAATCACAGATGTCTTAAGGGAAAGTCCTAATATGAGGGCAGGGTGCCATTTGCAGGGGAGCAGTAGTAGGGGAAAGGGCATGTTTAGGTGATTTTGTCCCACAACTCTTGTGGCCTTCTGGATGTGGTAGAACTGCAGCTTCCATCATCTCTGGCCATTAGCCATGCTAGCTAAGGCTGATGATAATTGTGGAACTACACCATCTGACAATACCCAACAGTTGACATGGGTGGCTCTCTTATGCTTGCAGAAAGCAAACAGTGTAATATGAAGTCACTTCTAGCTGCCATTTAACAAGTCCCCAGTGGGGTTCTCAAGCCAGCAGGTGCATGGACCCCTGAGAATCCCAAGGTGACTTGTTAATTGACAGCTAAAAGTGACTGAAATATTACACATTTGCCTTCTACATGTGTAAGAAAGTAATAAAATGTCGGCCAATGTATGCACACTATTTACCTTTTCGTGACCTTATGATGGTCACAAAAAATATAAACGCATTTCTTCCAATTTCAGCTTTATGCAATAGACAAGGTCATCTAGTTCTCTTCCTTATTCCTACTTGAATAGCAAACATGGGCCCCACTAGTACTATGTTTAACAACTGAGAATTCAACTATCTATTACATTCTTTGGTCATACGTCTTATTCCAGACATGATATCCACATTTTATCCTTGCTACTGGTAAGATAGATCTGACAAAGTTCATGTTATGGAAGTAGGAACATCTCTGTCTGAATCTTTTGGAAGGACATATCAACTCTTAGAGGGCTCAAATTCCTTTTAATCATATGGCATATAATTTTATTTTTCCATTTCTAACCCATGAATGTTAGACTGAACATGACAAATTCATGTAGGGTGCCATACCACCACATGGGCAACCCAAAGTTACTTGCTCAACCCTGTGCTCACTACACCACCCCACAAACGGGTGATTCTTTCATAGTCCTTGAGGATACAACACTTGTGATAAGCTGCTGTTGGAGATTTGTGTATATGTACTGTAAAGTATAAGCAGGAACATGTCCATAAGCAGATCATAAGTGTTGATTTGGATTACTGTCTCACACTATTCCCAGCGAGGTGTAGATTACAAAATGATCATAATAACTTTGATATAATTGAGAGAGGCACATGCCTTGGACACTTGTAAAAGATAAGGGATATTCCACTCCTGGTATTGCCAACATGGGAAGAGATAAAGGAGCAAATATATTTTACATGCAAAGATATGCAATGGCACTCTTTAGAGGAGGAGGTGGAAGAGAGAAGATGTCTTTCCACTTTTCTTTCAAAGCAAATACAATTTTGAAGAGAGAGGTGTAAACAGAAGCATCAAAAGAAAAAAATAAATGCATAACCATTTCTGTGCCTGCTTTTTGTTTGCTACAATATTGTCTAAACTCACAAGGGGTCACGTTGCTATCTGAATTAATTAGAGGCATTTTATTCTCAATAATCTTTTTCTCACCAAATCTTATTGCACCTTACATTTTGGAAAGCAACACAGAAATAGTAAACAAGGAAATCCTTCATCCTCTGCACACAGTTTCCTCCTCCTAAGAAGCAAAAGTTGATTCCAAAGCTGTCAATTTTTGCTTCTTCTTCTTTTAAGGGCAACAGAGTGCTATTATCTATGATGTGCTCAGGTACTACATGCAACTAGTTCTTCAAATAATAACTCAGCTGCAGCCATCCCATTTTGATTTATGGTTTACAGGAACATATCTAGTACTCCACAAAAAATACATAAGGAAAAATACAACATGTCTGTGTTAATATATGAATTAAAATACATAAGGAAAAATACAACATGTCTATGTTAATATATGAATTTGAATTTGACCTAACTCCGGGACGCAGTGGAAGACAGGAGGGCCTGGCGTGCTCTGGTCCATGGGGTCACGAAGAGTCGGACACGACTAAACGACTAAACAACATGTTAATATATGGGGAGGACTAAACGACTAAACAACAACAACATGTTAATATATAGGGAAAGGGATTTTGTTGGGCACAAAAAAGGGTTGTTCTCATCGTTCAATAGTTACTTTTATCCTAATAGGCTTGGATTCTGGGTAGTGTGAACTGTCTCCAGAAAAAATGTGGGGAAATGGACGAAATCCAATTTAACTTGCCCTCCCCAACTGGAAAACTCCAGATTTGTTGACCACAATTCCATCCCTAAGTAAACTGGCTGATTTAGATCTTAGATGTGGATATCATATTTTCAACTTTGTTTCTGAAAAATTTATTAAAATCCTGCTGCGTTACTATTGTCATAAGCCAAATGGATTTGTTTATTGCATTACATTACATTACATTTGTGAAATATAGGGAAATAATGGGCAAATCCTATTGTGTAATTTTGCCCAAATATAAACTAGATTAGGGTACTGGAAATAATTAATTTAATTTAAATTAAAGCCTCCTATCCCCCATTTCAGCATCTGAGGTTCCCTGGGCAGCCTTTGAGAGCCTTGGGATGGAAAGAAAGATTACAAAAGTCAACATCATTGTTGCATCACCGCTGCTGGCAATCTAGCTGCAATTTCTGACTATTAGAACGCCACCATCCTAAAGCTTCAAAAGGCTTCTTTGAGGCAAGAGGGAACCCTAGGGAACTTTAGAAGCTAAATCAAAAGGATAGGAAGCTTTATACCCATTTAAAGTGATTATTTCCAGCACCCTGAATCAGTTTATGCCAGTGGAATTGCACAAAGCAGATTTTGCCCCTATGGTTCTTATGCACTATCACGGAGTTGCAATCCTAAGCAGAACTATTTTCAGTGTGAATATTATTGAGATCAGTGGTTCTTAACCTTTGTTACTCAGATGCTTTTGAACTGCAACTCCCAGAAACCCCAGTCAGCACAGCTGGTGGTGAAGGCTTCTGGGAGTTGCAGTCCAAAACTCCTGAGTAACCCAAGGTTAAGAACCAGTGAGATAGATGACTGCCAGCAGAAATTCTGAATGCCTTTGTTTATAATGATCACTGCTAATAATGGCTTTATGGGGTATATGGGTGGACAGTGTTTATCTCTGTTTAAAGAGTTTGGACTGCTATTGGAGAGTTTGGACTGTCAATTAAGGAAAGGGTTGTCAAGTTGTTCTTTGGAACCTTTTGTTTAAAAGGCCAATTCTTAATACTGTACTGTATTACCAAAGGGAAATATCCAATATTCAAATATTCAACAGAATGGGATAGAAATTTCCTAAATATTAAACATGAAATTTCCTTGATAAAACTGCATCTTAAAATATTTCCTTTAAAATATTGGTGCTGGCTATGGCTATGATGTTCATTCTAAAAGTGTACTTCGTATCATAAAAACTTCTACAGGGTACAGTGTCCCCTGTTTCATTTTTTTAAAAAAAGAACCTCAGGCCCATTTTAAATAGTTTTCTTTGAAAGGAAAAGTAAATTTGCCCATTTGTAAAGAACTCCTCTTTTAAACATAACTATATATATATGTTGTCTGTATATATGTAATTTCTACAGGCCCTTAGTCCCAGAAGAATGCAAAAGAACAGCTCTTCCCACTCAAATTCTGACCACTGAATGCTCAAGGCATTGTCGAAATGGGCACTGCACTCCCACTGGAAAATGCTGCTGTAATCAAGGCTGGGAAGGCGAGTTCTGCAGAACTGGTGAGTACTCACTTCACAGTAGTTTGTGAAAATAGAAACCCTCGAGCAACACCTGACAAAGTATTTCAAATATGAGCAAATACCCCATTTATTGAGGCTTCTAAAAATAAACACTGTAGAGGTGACAAGGGAAACAACACAGAAGGGAAAACAAGGGAATTCAACCCTAGTTTATGAAATCAGGTTTTCCTTTTGTTTTATCACGATATGTACTAGGATTCAGACATGCTTGGGGACAACCAATGCCACCACACAGAAGCATATATTTGACATTATTCAGATGTGTCTCAAAGCAAAACTTTTCAGTTAATTGCTTGATGCATGCAAGTAGTGTTGAGCTACAAAAATAAAATTGCTGAAATTGGAAAGGGAATACAATGGGAAGTAGGAAAGCATCTACCTCATTATATCCTGAATGTCTAGAAAGCCAAGGAGAATTCCTGAACATAGCTTTAATTCATGTTTTTGTTTTTTACAGCAAAATGTGATCCAGCCTGTCGACATGGGGGTGTCTGCATACGACCAAATAAATGCTTGTGTAAAAAAGGATATCTTGGTGCTCAATGTGAACAAATGGATAGAAACATCCGAAGAGTGACAAGGGCAGGTATTCTTGATCAGATCATAGACATGACATCCTATTTGCTGGATCTAACCAGCTATATTGTATAGTTTCTGGGACTATTTGGATACCACATTTTCCATGGGCATTTATTTTTGAGTATTTTCTTCTTTAAACAAGAGAGAGAAAGACTGTTATCTTGCTTTGAAACTCCAGTGATTACATTTGGCTTTTAGATCTGTCTTTTACATTTTTCAGACAAGCAACAACGTACAATTCACGCACAAACACCTGATTGTATAGCTGGTGGAATATCAAAACTATATTTCTTCATGTGAAGTAGTTGACAGAAATTCCACTGTTGGCCACATATAATTTTCAATAATGTTACTATGAATTCTTTGATGGCCCACCAATTTTATCTCTATAACTACTCACCTATAGCCAACAGAAAGGAGTTTTGAAACTTTTTGACATTATTAAAACTTAATATTTTCCATCATTATGGTGCCACAAAATAGTGGGTGGATTCAGATGACCTATTGGCATGTATAATAAATGTGTTGCCTCCTAAATGTCATTCCCTGAACAGGATGAAAAAGCTATAATGTTAAGCTTGAATGATCAAACTGTCCAGTTACTATGTGGAAAATATGGCCATGTGAATTCAGCTCCCAACTATAAGACAATACTTCAGAACTTCTAATTGTGTTTTATACTTAATTCATTGTAAAACTGTAACCTACACCGCTATCAATGTAACAGAATGTTATGCACTTAACTACTTTCCATGGCATATATGCAAAAAAAATCTGTCGCAGCTTAATTTCCACACTGTTTCATGTTTCTTAATAATTAAATTATATTTGCATATTTTAAAACTGGTCATTCTAAAAGGTCTGATTTTTATTGAATATCTTATTTAACAAAGGGCACTGGGTTTGTGTTACATATTTATATTATTTTATTTTATTTTTTTATAATATAGACATCACCTAGATGAACAGCTTTGCCATGTCCTGTAAAATACTAAAGTTACATTTTTCTCCAACTTTAATTGGAATGACGGGGAATGAAAGAGACAACAAACTCTTTCCTATCTTGCGGACCCAATGTAGAAATGTATCTTTGTTTCGACTTTTGTTCATAATCGACGGAGAAGCAACACCAATCAACTAGTCACTGTAAATGTTGAAAAAAAGTTATTTCCTGTGCGTCAGGACTGGTCCGTTTATATGCTAATAGAATCTATTACAGAATTCACACTGAATGGAACATCACTGGATAGGAGCTCACTTTAGCTCATGTCTTGCCTGTGTAAGAGGATTCTTGTACAAATCATTAAAATTATGATTGTTGACAAATATGGTTAAAAATGTAAATGATTCTTGGAAAATTAACAGAATACTATTTTCCTTTTTGTAAATGTATCAATAAATTTGGTGTACATGCTGTATTCAAAATTGTTAAAGTATTAATTAATAGTTGAAGTTTTTTTTATATAGGCTAAGCCTCAGAATTTAAAATGTTTCTTTCTGCAATACTTGTGGAAACGGTCTGTGTTGTCTGTGCTTGCAAAACACACCAATCTCTTTGTGCTATTGTTTTGATAGAGAAGGCTTCCCACACAGAGAAGAGGGGAGAGCAAGTGTGCCCTTCGTCTCGTAGTTCATCAAACACCTGTTCCTATTCCAATAGTGTGCAATGTGTTAAGCAATGTAGCCTGACACTTTCGCCAAACATTCCCAGACTATGAAAATGGTCTCTGTAGGCAAACAGAATGCCAACAGAGTCGCAAAACAAATTCAAGCAATTTCTTATTATTTAGTAAATCTGTAATGTGTAAGCAAAAAGCAATAGGTAATCACTTCTTGTCCAGACATCTCTGTTCAAGAGAGCACAGAAGGAAACAGGATCTACACTTGGCATCCACCTATGATTATTCTTGGGCTTCAAATGACCTCTTGACAAATGGAAATTTGTTGAGAAATCTTGGTCGAGTGCTTAGTGAACAATGGTCTGCATTAAAAAGTGCATACATAATTTTGCACAATGTAGACCCAACTGACACTCTATTCAGAAGTGAGTTCAGGATTAAATGAGCATGGAGACCAAATTACCCTCTTACCCCAGAAAAGGGTGGTCTCCTCCACTCACACTAGCACCTCATTGGCTAAGCAGTGTGACAAATCTTGCAATGAACCCTGCAGCAGCCTGCATCTGTAGGTTAATAGCAGCCCTTTGTCTCCATTGCTTTCTCCCTATAGTCCCGTTACTGAATCACATCACAAAAAGTTTTACAATTAGGAAAAATATCCTGGCAACCATTTTTGTACACTGACCTTACCATCAAATCTTCTGATACTCAACATGGGGGCGACGTTAACAAAATGTGAACTTCTACAGAATAAGGCAGCTGTCTAAATCTGTCAACTACTGCCATTTTCACTGAACATTACACTGTTCACAGCTTTGGCAAAACAAGAATTAATTTACTGAAACATTTACAAGCAGCTCATATTTAATTGTTTCAAATAGCAGGTATTTCCCTCCAGCATGGGGAGTGGGCCAGAAGGAGGAAAGAAGGGATGAGTTATTTACAAGCTAAGGTAACTTCATATGTTTCAAGCAAATATTTGCCCCCTTTTCAAGCAATTAAAGCAATACAGTGTTTACTGCAGTAAAGAAAACCTGAAGCATCATTCTCTCAAAGGTCCAAAGCTTCAGAGTGAGTACATACGTATATCAAGCACTACACATGTTGACTGGGCATAAGCACAGGGATACATATAACCAAAATCACTTATCATTTTGTCAATGATTGGAATTAAAACATAAACAAAAATTGGTGCAATTTAATGATATCAAGTTGCAGTCCTAGCATACCTTCTGGTGACAATGCCATAATGTCTGCTTTGCGATATTGAACCAGAGTAGCGATCAGTAGAGTTCAGTATTGAAGTAGGGTAATACAGAAAGTCTGTAAATTACTGAAATCTCTTCTATCCCATGGCAACTGACCTCTCTACTCATCTGCCATGAATGCATAATTTAACACGAGAACCCCTCAATGGAAATGAATGGTTCTGAAGTAAGTCACTTGAAGAACTTAGCTTTATACTTATGAAAAGTCCACCAGTTACTGAAAGTTGGTGAGTAAATTTGATCTTTGTTCTCTTCATCACCAGCATTTTGAATGCTTAGGTTGCAGTCCCATGCCTCCAGCAACCCCTATTAAATTCAGTGGGGACTGCTTCTGAGCAAGTCTTTATAGATTTGCACAATTTAGGGTGCATGGTAGTTACCTTGAGTAAGAACATGCAAAAACATGTTGATTGTTTCTCTGTCAATTTCTTTGCCAATCAAACTCAAGTCTCAGTGACACCCTAAAAATGAAATTTACAATGAATCATTTGCCACAGTAAAACTGAGATCAGTAGAGCAATCAGTTAAAAGGCTAGATCCCCTCCAAAAATCCTCACATATTATTTTTCTACTTCCATTCGTATTTTTAATCACTCTTCTGCTTGTAGCTCTAACAAGCTTATTATGATTTTTTTCTTTGTTTTAACAGCAATGCGTATTTTGGGATGGGGAATAAAAGACACCTTTTTCTATCAGGTATACATGTATAATTTGAACTAACTGCAATAATGTATACATACTACAGTACTTTAACAATACAAATATGGATACTTTCATCTGACTCTCTTTTTGAAAATGACATAAAATAACCATAGAGACTATTTATTGAGGTTTATGATGTTCCAGCCTGTGCATTTTATCTACATGCAACCAAAACTGCAATGATAACCTGTAGAAAAAGTAAGAGAAAGCAATGGAACCGAGAGATTCCAATTACAATGGCTTCCCGAATTAAAGAATGAAGCAAGCATACCACTGGCCTTTCACCTTCCACTGATTTTATTTATTTATTTACGGCAGTTCAAAGGAGTCACATATAATATCTGTAGCTTTTGTGTCTGAAATCCTGTTGCACAGCTCCAGGTGCACAGCAGTGTTGATGGCAGCAGCAGCAACTTGCCACTGATAAAAGGCTTCTTTGGGCAATTTCGCAGTGCACACAACTTTGTTGCATTGCAGACAAATACATGCACCCAAAAATTGCCTTTAATCGATGATGATTCGCCTTTAATCATCACCCTTGCATATGCAGAGTTGCACAATAGAATTTCAGCCAATCTTTACGTGTCTATGCTTATAAAGGGATAGGGTGAGCCCTTATCCAGAGGGTGAGGATAAGATATTTTCATTATGGTGTGTGTGTGGACCACTCTGTAAGTTTCAATGTCAAGGACTCACATCACCTCCCACTCTGACAATTATAACTTCTAGCATCTTACAATGAAGCAATCAGATAGATACATGCAAAACCTGAATCTACCCTGCCCCACCCATGACTAGAATTTATAGCTCATGAGCAGATAAAGTGCAGTACTCACCCTAAGTTTAAGTGCCTTTTAGTATAGCTTGGAAACACTGCTTTTTTGGATTGCAACTCCCAGAATTCTTAAGCATTCCAGCTAAGAGATTATGGGAGTTATTGTTCAAAAAAATTTTTTTGCCAAGGGGATCATCTTTAAGTAGTCTAAAAAGTAATGTTTCTAATCTCTGCCCTTCCATTCATATCTCTGGCAAGAACCATCTGTCCTTTGGTCAGCAGTTTTGTGGCTCAAGAAACGAGATGATGGAAGAAATGTCATAACAGAAAGAGAAAGACATGGGATGGTCTTGCCCATTTGCCTCTGATCCTGTCCAGTACTGCCACGCATCCTCTTAACAGGTTGCCTTAGAGAGAACACAGGTCTCAAGACATCAATAAGAGGAGTATTCCACATGGCTCTCTTATAATGGTGTACAGAGTGAAATAATAGTCCAGCATGGGATCATGTGTTGATAACTTTAGAGAACCAAGGGCAGTGAGGAGGATCTTTCTCAAACTATCATACTAAAGAAAGCTCGGGATTTTCTGGGGTTCATCTCTTCAAGGCATTATCCTCAATCTGAAAAGTAGAGGAGAGAAGTAGTAATACAACATTTAAAAGGCAGTATAGAGACAACAGCATACAGGTACGAGAGCAGTTTAGATAGCTATAGTGCAAGCAGATTTAAAAAATGTTCATATATTCATTCTCACATCTCAGTGGGTAGGAAGTAATTACATTAGAAGTACCAAGAAGTACATTCAAGTACCAAGTCTAAAATCCATTCTCAGCAGAATTTTTTAAATGTAATACACTGCAGAACTAAACTTAAGGTGTAAAGGATTATTCTAATGTTACTAAAAGATTACTTTCTTTTAAACAAACACAACTTTAACATTATTTTAGCTCACACATGGTTATGAACATCCTCATTCTATACATAGCATAATATCATTACATTGTTGTTGTTTAGTCATTAAGTCGTGTCCGACTCTTAACATTACTACTGTATATAAACATCAAAATGTTCTAAGCTAGAACACAGGAGAAATTTGAACAAAGAAGAAGATGTGATATCCAGAGTCTTGTCTTTCGATGAAACATGGTAAAAATCTACTTATTGTTAATCAAACAGCTTAACATATTGCTTGTTTGTATTTCCTTTGCTATTTTTCCTGCATTGTCCACTTGCTTATATACTGACAATAAAAAAATAATTTTGAATCTTTGGAAATATGTCTACTATATCTCAAAGCCAACATAATGCATTTGGAAGCTGTTAATTAAAGGGCTGATGAAATTAGCCTTCAAAAATCTCCAACATGATGGAGAAATGGATTTTGCCCCACATCAACAAAGTCCCCAAATAGTGTACGACAGCAAGCTCCTTTGCGCCACCCAGTGGTAATAAAAAGTTGGAGCAGCATTCAAAGCAGGTCATCTTTGAGAACCTGAGGTGACATCCTGCATATACAACCTGGTCACACTAATATGCAACAATGTGGAAGGATAATAGCCCTTTTTGTCACTTCTCAGCAGCAAAGATTGGAATCCTATCAGCACTTACCTAAGAGAAATACTCTGCACTTTGTAGATATGGATAGGTTTGCAGAGTACAGTAAAGGGGGAAATTAGGCATTCAGGGCAATGGGTATTTACTGCCCTCCAGACACACAGATTCCTTGAAAGCTCTGTGCCTGAGCGATCAGATTTGCAAATGAGACCCATTCCTGATGACCAATCACACATACCCCCTGAAAGGCATTTGCAATAAGAAGTAGCCTCTTAAGGGAGAATCCGTTCTAATTACATGCTCATCTAGTCTGACCCATGTCACATTTTTCCTATTTACACTCTATTCAAGTAAGTTTGAGTCTGCAGCCCGTATTTTGAAACTTGCTTTAAATGAAGAAGCCTGGTATAAACATGTGCGTGTGAGCTTTGGAACTTTTATTCCTCTTCTGCATCACTCCCAAGTCTGCAGTGTATGAGACTGTTGTTGTTGTTTGAC